CCTCAAACCCACAGAGGTCCGCCTGCCTCTGCCTCCTGAGTGCTGGGATTAAAGGCGTGTGCCACCACCACCCAGCCTGTCTGGGTTTTTAATCAGAATTAACCAATATAAATTTTTTGAAAAGATTTATTTATTTGTTTGTTTGTTTGTTTATTGAGGCAGGATCTCACTATATAGCCCAGGCTGGCCTGAAACTGAGACCCACCAGCCTCTGCCTCCCAATCCCTAGGATTGAAGGTGTATTCCATTACACCTGGCTATTTCTATTGTTTTGAAATTGTGTGTCTGTGCACATGAGTGTAGTACCTACAGGGGCCCAGAAGAGGGTGCTGCAGCCTCTAGAGCTGGAGTTCTGGGCAGTGTGAGTCACCTGGCATGGGTGCTAGGAACTGAACTCGGGTTCTCTGCAGGCACAGTACTGCTGAGCAGTCCCTCCAACCCCAACTTTTCATTTTCAACTTGCTTATCTGCTTTATTTTTATTTGCATGTATTTGTGTTAGGGGGTGGTACAGGGCACCGAGACCAGGTAAGCCAGCCCTTTACCATGAGGCCAGTAATTTTCAACTTCCTATGCTGCAACCCTGTAATACAGTTCCTCATGTTGTGGTGACCTCAACCATAAAATTATTTCATTGCTACTTCATAATTGTAACTTTGTTACTGTTATGAATCATAATGTAAATATCTAATATGTAGGATATCTGATGTGTGACCCCTGTGAAGGGTCATTCACCCTCCCCAAAGGGTCGCGACCTCCAGATTAAGAACTGGGCAGAGACAAACCTCCAACCCTCTTTTTACTTATTACCTTGAGACAGGGTTATACTAAGTTGCCCAGGCAGGCCTTGAACCACCATCTTCCTGCCTCAGCCAACGGAGTTAAGGATTGCATTTGTCTACCACCTATTGGCTTTGTCTTTGACTCTCAAGTCACTTTCCAGAAGGCCGCAGAACGCTACTGTCCTGCTTGGGAAGTGGGAACAGCTGTTCTGTAGAGAGAAGGCCTCAGTAGGAAACTTAAAGACCCCTAAGTGTTCTGACTGCATGGTTAGCTCTCCTGGTCTGAAAAGGACTCTATTTCCTTCCTCTCTGCCTCTCTCTTCCCCTGAGGACATCCCTCTGCCTTCTTCCTGGCCTCCTTCCTTTCTACAGAGCTGTTCATAGCTTCCTGTCCTCCCCAGCAGAGGGTGTGTGTGTGTGTGTGTGTGTGTGTATGTGTGTGTGTTGGTATCCAGCAATCAGTCAACTGCATGATTCTCCCTCAACCTTGCCCCTGGCTCTTTTACTCTCAGTCTTGGGCTCTGACTCCCCCACCCCCTGTGACCATTGTGAGATTAAAAAGTGAAGGCCCAAGGGACAAGGCCTTTGGGCTGTAGAGACTTAAAAAATGAAGGATGGGGCTGGAGCGATGGTTTCCCAGTTAAGAGCATCTGCAGAGGACCTGGATTCGGTTCCTGGTACCCACATAAAAGCTCATACTATCTATAACTCCAGTCCAGGGGATTCCAAAGTCTTCTGACCTCCTTGCAAGTGATACACAAAATATATGCACACAAAATGCTTGGACACATATAATTAAAATTTAAAAAAAAATTGAATCTTTAAAAAATGTTGCAGGATGGTCAGAACTTAACTGCAGAAGAACCCAGAACGGTGACACTTGACCTCTGGAGACAAGAATACATACCCTTACAATAAAGTATCATTGTTTGGACAAAAGGCTGCTCTTGTCCCCTCCTCAGCCTTCCCTGGTGCCTGGCTGTCCCAGGACTCTTCTGAATTGTAGGTCTGACTGGGGGGGGGGGGGGCTCAAGTATGCTCAGGGGTTGGATGTTGGAGACCTGGTATTTTCTGTGAGTCAGTGCCATCCAGCGTACCTTGTCGTGAAGAAGCAGGCCTCAGACTGGGTAACAAGGGACGGGCTATTAAAGGGGCGTTTAGAGATCTCAGAGATGGCTCAGTGGTTAGCCACTTGCGTCCTAAGCATGAGGACCTGAGTTTGGGTTCCTAGCTCCCGTGTCTTTATCCCAGTATGGCGCTGCACACCTATAACCCAGGGACAGGAAGCAGAAGTGGCCAGGTCCCGAGAGCTCACTGACCAGCCAGTCTAGCAGAACCAATGTGCTCCAGGTTCTCAAAAACTAAGGTGGAGAATGGCGGAAGAAGACACTTAACTTTAACCTCTGATCTCCCCAGAGGTGCATGTGTGTCTGGACACCTAAGGACATTTACCAGGACAATCAGATGGGGAACTGCTACTGTCCCTTGTCCTCCAAGTCAAGGGCAAACCCTGTAGGAGCTCAGAGTTTACTGTGTTTTTGGTCAAGAGTCTCAGCCAAACTGGAAGCCACACTGTCCAGGCAGCTGTAGGCAACAAATTTAATCAGCCCCAGAGGGCAGAGCCCTTTAGCCGGCACAGGCCCTGCAGCCTCTGGCCATGCAGACAAGGTCCACTGATCCAATTATTGTCTGGCAGAAATTTGTTAAAGGGAACGGGGGATTTCAGGGTGCTGGGTGAGAGACACCATTTCCTCTATCTATAGTGTTCTCTTTTTCCAAAGCGTTCATCCTTGGTGGTCTACCAGCTTTAACCACCCACCTTACGATGAGGCTTCATGCCAGCCCTTCCCAGCATTCAGACCCAGGCCACACTGGACCAGACTTTAGAGTCTTCTAGAAATACCAGTCTTAAAATTACCCTCCTCACACCATGGCTCCTCCTTCTGAAATTCAGGCCAAAGGCAGGGTCATCCTGGACTTAAAAAAAAAAAAAAGAAAGGAAAGAAAGAAAGAAAGAAAGAAAGGAAAGGAAAAAAACAACTTTATTTATTAGGCATGGGGAGGGGGATGCGTGTCACGGTGTGCAAGAGGGCAGCTCTGTGGATTTGGTTTCTCCTCCTGCCATGTAGAACCCAATAAGTTCTCTGTAGTTCAGAGCCCAGGACCCAGGACATGTGCACACACTTGGATCACACATACACAGAGGTCAGAGGACAACTTTCAGAAATTGGTTCTCTCCTTCCACCATGTGGAACTCCGGGATCAAACCCTGGGCTTCAGTCCTTACAGCAAGCGTTTTTATCCACTGAGCTACCTCAAAGACCCAGGTCTTCTTGTTAATTCGGATCTGATCCTGTACTCCCAGTGGCTCGACCAATCAAAAGCCACCCATTGTGTTAGAGTGCTTGTAGAGTTTGGGTGAAAGTCCTCCCACTTGCAGTGTTACTAGGTAATAATCTCCATCCCAGAGTCTTCCCTTTTCAGAGTCACCCACAGTCTCACGCTCAGTCAGACCCCCGAGCCCCTGTCCCCCTCACTGAGTCCATCTCTTCCCCTTCTGCAGCTTGTCCTGATCCAGCTCCCTGGGGCTCTTGGAGGTTAATAGCTGTCACATGCCTGCTGGAAAAGACTCTAGGACTAGCAATGCAGTTTAGTCCCCAGGGATCTGCACATTGGAAAGAGAACAAACTGGCAAGCTGTCCTCTGGCCTCCACAACCCCACCACACACATCATATGCAACCTAAACACAATAATAAAACATTTTCAGAGGGGCTGGAGGGATGGCTCAGGGGTTAAGAGCACTGGCTACTCTTCCAGAGGACCCAGGTTCAACTCCCAACACCCACATGGCAGCTCACAACTGTCTGTAACTTCAGTTCCAGGAGATCTAACACCCTCACATAGACATACGCTCGAGCAAAACACCAATGCACACGAAAATAAATTATTTTTTAAAAGCTACCATTTTTAAAAATTCTAAGATGTGATGTCTCTTCACACAAAGCTCACAGCAGTGCTCAAAGCATCAATGTTTATATTCTCCCTAGACTACCAACCAATGAATGGATGCATGACCGTGGTACATCTACTGAGCGGAACGTTATTCAGTCAGAAAAAAGAATTGATAGACAGATAAATGCTACAGCAGGATGAATGTTAAAAGCATCCTGCATGTGAATGATAACATAAATAAAATATTAGTATCCTGCCAATCACAAGATTCCTCAGCCTTTGTGGTTCCATTACGTGACATATCCAGAAGAAGCAGATTCACAGAGGCGCAGGGCTGGTTTCCTAAGTCAGGAGAGGTTGGGGGGTGACAGCTAAGAAATACGATTTTTTTGTTCATTGGAGGGGCAGCTGTAACATGGGAATTCACTGCCGCTCGAAAAATGACCCCTATGATTGCTGTCTGTTTTTCTCTTAAGACAGGGTCTCATTATGCAGTCTTGGCCATCCTCAAACTCACAGACATCCTCCTGCCTCTGCCTTCCAAGTGCTGGGATTAAAGAAGTGTGCCACATTTCCCGGTATGATGGCTGCCCATCTCAGTAAGGCAGTGCTGTTGTTTTTGCAAGCCGTGTGCAATTTCACATTCAATATTGCTATGTCTAAAACCTTAAAAGGAACTTTGCAGCCAGTCTTGTTTTCATTTCCCTTTAACTTGTCTATTATTTAAACTTTGGTTGTTTTTTTGAGATCAAGATCCCACTCTACTCTGGCCTGAACTCGTGGAGATCCTCCTGCCTCAAGCACAGAGGTGCTGGACTACAGGCATGAGCCACCGAACCCGGCATGAACTCCTACATTTTTTTGGACTGCACAGACTAGATGTTCAGTGTTTGTTCATTTGCTTTGCGAGGCCTCACACATACTAGGCAGATACACGTCCACTGAGATGGTACCTGCAGGCTACTAACGGGGCTGGAAAGACGGCTCAGCAGTGAAAAGCAGTTGCTGCTCTTACAGAAGACCTGAATTTGGTTCCCAGTATCCACACTTTGGCTCACCGTCCTCTGTAACTCAGCCCCAAGGGATCTGGTGCCTTATTCAGGGACACTGCACACCCACAGTGCACAGACCTGAATGCAGAGGAAGCAGCCACACATATAATGTAAACATAAGTCTTTAAAGCTACTTAAGCAGGTGGGAGGGTCTTCCTCCTGCAATAGTATGAGGCGTGTAGGGGCTAACCCTGCTCTGTTTCCTCCTGCACAGAACTTCCATGATGGACGGAAGGCCCAGCAGCACATCGAGACGTGCTGGAAGCAACTGGAGTCAGTAAGTGGGAAGCTGGCCGCTAAGCCAGTATCTCCCTAGAGAGTCTCTCTTCAGTCTTCATAGGGCTTGAATGGCTCACTAAGTAAAATCCAAGCAAAAACCACTAAGGAGCCTAACTTTTTCTCATTTGCACTTCATTAGTTTGCTCCTAGAACTGTTAATGGCAAGCAAAGTGCTGAGCCAGAAATGCTTGAAAAGAGATGGCTTAGCGTCTGCCACAGGAGCACGAGGACCTGAGTTCGGATCCCCGGCATTACTTATAAAGCTGGGTGCATAGAATTCCAGCACTGGGGAGGCAGAGACAAGAGGATCTCAGGGGCTCACTGGCTGGTCGGCCTGTGTAGCCATATCAGCAAGCTACAGACTCAGTGAGAGAGATCTCTCTGAAAGCCAAGTGTATGAGCTGGAGAGATAATGGCTCAACAATCAAGAGCACCTGATGCTCTCCCTGAGGACCCAGCGCCCAGTGGGGCGAAACTCACCTAGCATCCATATTGGGTGCTCCTGGCCCAACATCTCTGGCCTCTGAAGGTGCCAGCACTCCTCTCAGACACACACAGCCACATGCAATCAGAATGAAAACAAATCTTAGGGTGGAGAGTGATGGAGGAAGATGTCCCGTGTTGACCTCTGACCTCTCTGTGCACACGCACACACGTGTGCACAAAAGCAGGGACACACACTCATAAAAAGTGCTCGAGTGGAGGCAGGTAAATCCTCCACTAAAGAGGGGTCACTGTAACGTGGACAAATGCGGAAGTCACTTTGGGAATTGATGGCGTGGTGGATGGGTTCTGGGAGGACGCCCGCGGGGGTCCCTCTAGAGGAGGCAGAGCGGGTGGATGACCACTGCCTGGCTGTGCTCTGTCTGCAGAGTAAGAGGCGCTTCGAGCGGGACTGCAAGGAGGCCGACCGCGCCCAGCAGTACTTCGAGAAGATGGACGCTGACATCAATGTGACCAAAGCCGACGTGGAAAAGGTGAGGGGACTCTGTCTCGCTTCCCTGGAGCGTGCTTCCTAGGCTGCCACTGAGGAGGCCCGGCCTCAGCTTCCTCTTCCTGGTATAACCACAAGAGGGTACTTGCTGGGGACAGGGTTTCGTTTTGTGTCATCGCCATGGGGACCAGAAGTCCACACTGGGGGAAAAACCAGGCCTGAGGTGATTTGCTTAGTCACCCCCCTGGTAATGGGGAGACCTGGACACGTCACAACAGGAGTGGTTCAGGAGGCCTTCCTTAGTGGCTCGTCAGAGGCCGAGTTCCGTGTCTGAGGAGCCGAAGCCCAGCTTGTGGGAGAAGTCGGCAGCTCCAGACCTTCAGAAAGGCTGACCCTCTGTCCAGCTGTGTCATGGATTCTTCTGGGCTGATACCCAGGAGGCCGGGTGAGGGAGGCATTTGGAAGTCGGCGGGAGATTTCCTCTCAGTGGCTCAAATATAAAGTGCGCCCTTGTCTTCCCAAGCCCAGTGTGTGTGTTTTTTCCCTAGAAGCCCCTTTTCTTTTTATGAAAGTCATCACGACAGTGTAAACACAATCATGCTGCTAATAGTGGCATTTATTCATGGTGCCCAGGGCCATTTGGGCATCGCAGTCTGTGCTTCTCTCTGGAAAAGCTCTGCTTTTTCTGTGGTGCTGCTTGGCTCTGCCAGATGAGTTCAAGATGCCTTGAGTGGGGAATATCTCCGTTAGGATGGAGGGATATATGGCTTTTTTATTACTTTAATATGCTAAAATGCATATTCTTGACATCGTGGGGTCAATTTTTACTTTACCAAAAGACATTCATATTTTGATTAAGTGACCATACTTATAAATTCCTACTAGCTAGTCATGTCTGAAGTGTTGTTTAAATGTTCTTTTTTACATTGTGTATGAGTGTTTTTGTGACAAGTAGCTCTCATGTGTCGCCCTCAGAAATAGCTTTGTAGAGGGGCTCCTTCTTTCAGCCATGTGGGTCCTAGGAATCATTAAGTTCCCTTTTACCTGGCAGCCCCTCTTCAGACTTTTAAAATGTTACCTAGTTGAAAATGATATACATACCTGTGACCCCAGCACTTGGGAGTGGAGGCAGGAGGGTCAATGATCAAGGTCTGCACAGTGGACTTGATGCCAGTCTAGGACATATGAGGCTCTGTCTTGGAAATTTGAAAAATATGGGACTGGGGAGATAGCTCAGTGTTTCAGAACACTGGCTGCTCTTCCAGAGGTCCTGGGTAGGAGTCAAAGCACACACATGGCAGCTTAAAACCATATGTAATTCTAAACCCAGGAGATCCGATGACCTCATCTGGCCTCCGTGGGCATTGCATGCATGTGATTCACGGACATAAAATAAACATAAGTAAATCTTTAAAAAAAAAAAAAATATATATATATATATATATATATATATGCCGGTCTGTGGTGGTGCATGCCTTTAATCCCAACACCCAGGAGGCAGAGCCAGATGAATCTCTGAATTCAAAGGCAGCCGGGTCTACAAAGAGTTCCAGTATACCCAGGGCTATACAGAGAAACCCTGTCTCAAAAAGCAAACCAAAGACCAATAGTTGGAGGGATGGCTGAGTAGATAACAGGCATACTGCTCCAGCAGAGGGCCCAAGTTCAATTCCCATCACTCCCGCCACACTGGTCACAGCTTCCTCCAGTAAATCCAGCTCCGGGGGTCCCATGCCTCTGGTCTCTGTGGACACCTTTATTCATATGCATTTGTTCCCAAATAGACTCACACACATAATTAAAAATAAAGGTGCTGGGTGGTGCTGACGCACCTTTATTATCAGCACTAGGGAGGGAAAGGCAGGTGGATCTCTGTGAGTTCAAGGCCAGCCTGGTCTGCACAGTGAGTTCCAGGACAGTCAGTGCTACACAGAGAAATCCCATCTCAAAAGATAGATAGATAGATAGATAGATAGATGCTAATTCTAAACAATTAAAACTAAGATAGACTGAAGAATGTTTAAAATCTGTAGTGTAAATGAAGTCAAAGTCAGCTCCATTTATTATGGGTCATGTGTGGTACAAATATATATGTTCTTTTTAAAATATTTTTATTTATTTTTATTTTTGTGTGTGAATATTTTACCTGCTTGTATATCTGTTTGCCACCTGTGTACCTGTGCCTATGGAGGTCAGCAGAAGCATCAGATCTCCTGGAATTGGAGTTAGAGGAGGTTGTGAACCACCGTGCGGGTGCTGGAAATCAAACCTCAGTCCTCTGTGAGAGCAGCCAGTGCTCTTAACCACTGAGCCATCCCTAAAGCATCATCAGTACTGATTCACAGATGTCTAGACCATAGGCCACATATGGATGTCAGAGCCCCAAGTCTTCCATGGTGACCCCGCTTTGGCTTTCGTCAGCAGCCAATGCTATAGTTGTGCCCACTGCCCTTATCTGTGTGCCTCTTCTTTGTGTTTCTTATCTTCCTCTGCAGCCTGTGACCTCCTTGTACAGAAAGCAATAGTCATTGTGGGTTTCTTTATCTCCTTCTTGATTATGGAGGGTGCTTCAGATCTCTCCTACGAAGAGTGTAATGAAACAGGCCTTAACCCCGGCACTTGGGAGGTGGAGTCAGGAAGCTGGCTGCAGGCTCTAGGCCAGCTAGGCAAAGGGAGATCTTGATTGAAAATGAAAGGAAGGAGGGGGAGGAAGGGAAGAGAAAGTAAAAGACTGGTTTTAATATGCCTTTTTAAAAAAGAAACTGTCCCTCTTTTCTTGTTTTGCCAAAATATCTTTTTTTCTGTTTTATGTGCATGGATGTTTGCCTGAGTGTGTGTTTGTGTGCCAAGTGTACAGGACCTCTGGAGACCAGCAGAGGCTGTCAGGTCCCCTGGAACTGGAGTTACAGATAATTGTGAGCCACACTTGGTGCTGGGAACTGAACCCAAGGTTGTAAAAGAACAGCCAGTGCTCTTAACTGCTGAGGTAGCTTTTCAGCCCTCCAAAATGTCTGTTTTTTTTTTTTTTAAAAAAGCTTGTTTGTTAACCAAATATCATTTTCTGCTTCCTTTAATTCATTAATGCTGTAGATTACATTAATCCACTTTCCTACCTTGAACTAATTATCCTGGGCTAAACTCAGCTAGACTATGTTGCTGTCTCTTTAAGGATACAAAGTAATCATTCAACATATTTTACTCAAGAGTTTTCATTGTGGTGAAAACCACACCTGTAAGCCCAGCAGCTGGGGACAAACAGATGAAAGTTTGGGGCTAGCCTGGGCTGCATAATGAGACTCTGTTTAAAAAAAAAAAAGGAAGGAATGCCTACTCTTGAATTCATACAATCTCCCTTTCCCTTCTGTTTTAGTTTACTTAGGTTTTAGAAGATTGCTCTTTTTTTCCGCGATAATTGTAAGATGAAATTATCTAGTTATCTGGTTCTGGTTTTTGTCCTTTGTTTGTCCTTTTGTTGAGGTGGTGTCCCGCCTCATGGCTCAGGCTGTCCTTGAACTCTTGCTTCTCCTCCTGCCTCAACCTCCCCAGTCGCTGAGCTTGGAGACGCACACCACATAACCAGCTCTTGTGGTCTCTTAAATGTCTACCTATGCTTCTCTGTGACAATGGTGTATGTGTGTGGGTGTGTGCATGTGTGTTTAGGGACCTGCAGAGGCCAGAAGAGGGTGTTGGATCCCCTGCAGCTGGAGTTACAGACAGCATAGATCCTCTGTGAAAGAAAATGGCTCTTAACTGCTGAGCCATCACTCCAGTCCTGAGTCAATGTTTCACTATCTGCTCCTTTTTGAACCTGGTGGATTTTTATTTTTATTTATTTTTTTTTCGCTTTAAAAATGTTATTATTTATTTTTGAGAATTTCATACATGTATGCAATGAAATATGAAAATATCTACCCCCTGTTTCCATCTCCATGTCTCCCCATACCTGGTGGATTTTTATTTTCACTGAACGTGGAGCTTGCTTTGTCTCGGCTGCCCTCCAGCAAACCGATCCAGTGTGATCCCTGGTTCCTGATCGCACTGAGGGCCTCCACCTGTCGCTTCCATTCTACTACATGTACTATGGTCCTGTAGCGCCTGTACTACATGTACAGCCTGCACTACGGACTCAGGAGAGAGGCTGGAAATTTAAACACATACACACATAGACAGAGAAACCGGGACACGGGTCATCCTTGAAACAAGAATGCCCCCTTTATTGTGGTCCAGGGAAACTGATATAGGGATCCTTAACTGATAGCCATGCCCCAGCCAAACCCACCAGAAACCACTCCCCTGCCATCAGGAGCTCATGAGGGTCTCATGCTCAGAGCAGCTGCAAACACTGGAAAACAAGTTGTTTTGCTCAGAGCAGCTGCAAGCATAACAAGTTGTTTACAGGAAATTCAGGGTCTGGGGTCCACAGCCTCCAACACTACCTCAATTACATATTTCCATTGATTTATCTTTCCCTACAGGGAGCAGGGGTTAGTTATTTTTCTGAAAGTGCCATGGCCACCGTCACCAGGAATCTGAGGCTCCCTAATCGGGAGCCATGAGCATCAAAGTATAAGCACTGATGCCTTAAACACTGAATATTTTAGGTCCTTCTGCTTTGAAGGTGACCTGAAACCCGCTGGCCACTGCAGGCCATGTGGAGACATGAAGTCAGCTTTTCTCACTGAATTCCCCATTGTTATCTTTGCTTTATTCTTTGAAACAGGTTTCCGTGCATAGCCCAAGCTAGCCCCCCTCCTGCTTCCACCTCCTAAATGCTGAAATTTCAGGGGTGCATGGCCACACCCACTTTCCATTGCTGCTTCTGACAGTCTCTGACTCAACGCAGATGTCTCTCTTCCAGTTTCCACAAAGGATTAAGTGGCCTGATTATATTTGACTCAACTCACCTTCCTGTTCCTAGCAGCCAGTCATACAGTCTATCTAACGCTGTGTCATGTCTCCCAGAATACATTTGTCTAGATGCTAGGTTGTGCGTGATGGCTCAGGGCATGTGTAGTATAAAGTTGCATGACTTTCTGGTCTAGG